CCCCAGCCTTTGCCTCTCCTCCCGCCAGAGAGCTCAGCATGCTTCAGTGTCTGATGGATGGGATCAAAGCCTCTCAAGACATTAATGCATTGGATAAGCATTGGGCACAGGAGCTCTGCTCCTATCAGTCCTACCACAGGCAGGCAGCTCGTGCTAAATAAACACAGTGTGACAGGAGGAATGAAATATTTACTTTGGCTCATTAAGGTTTGCAGTGAGGTGGAAGAATTAATCCCACAACAAATTATGCCTCTGCTATTGCTTCTAAGGTTTGGGATTTTCTTTTAGCATCAGACACTCAGCTCTATCTGCTCTTCTCAAATGCAACAGAAATCAGTGACTGGATCCAAGAGCCTTTTGGGGGTTTGGAAAGACGTGTCAGGAGTGGTGAGTCATGGCTTGAAGGCTTCCAGCACTGAGGTGAGCTGGGCCTGCCCTGGGCAGGGTAAGAACAGGGAGGTCCAAAAAGGGACCTGGGCATTTGGTCTTGTTGCACTGGGGGTGCACGTTGGGACCTTACCTCTTCTAAGTAGCCACATTTTTTGGTTTATGTGGCTTGTGGTGGCAGTTAGAGATATAGAGGTAACGCTAGCTTTGTCCTCACTGAGCTGCAGATAAGCCTCAGTCTTGCTCCTTGTGATCACCAGGGTAAGATCTGTCCTGAACTGTGGTTAGCTCTGAGGACAGCAGGTAAATCTAAGCTCTGGATCCAGTGTTGCAGAAAGATGGTATGGAGCAGGAACTATTTTTTTGGCCTCTGTTTATGCAGACGTTGGCATGGAGGCCTCCAGCTGTGCTGCAGAAGGTGGCACTGAGATAATGTGCTGATATGCAGAGGCTGTAGAGTATCTCTGCTCTGGAAGTGATGGTCAGAGCTGTGCTACTCTGTGCCAAGTTCACAAGGCTGTTCCTCCCGACAGGCAGATCACATTAGTGTTTTTGCTTTGCCTACATTACCCGATCCAGCCCTTACGGCACCTGCAGGGAGAGAAATTGCCGAGACAGTTCCTCTCCGGAGACTGTTAACAGACATGTAGCTTCAGTTAAGACTCCTCATAAAACAAGTCAGCTTTTGGGCAAGACAAGGCAGCATTTGGTAGCTCTCCAAGCTGGTAGAAGGAAACACGATGCTCAGGCAGGGCTAGAACTGCTTGTCCTAGGAGACATGTGAAGGAGGAGCACTGATGGGGAGAGCTGGGCAGCACAGAGGGAAAAGGGGCTCTCAGGTGGAGCTGGGATCACCTAAGGAGCACAGTAAGGAAGATAACTAGGGTTTTCACTTTGCACCTGCTAGCAGCTATGAGCAGTGCTCTCCTAGGGTAGATTTGGAGCCATTTATCCAGGCAGTCAGTTGTCTCAAAATATCACTTTTTTCTTCCTAGAAGCCCAATAGCCTCTATGCCAAAAAAACCCCAACCCAACAATTTTAGATGCTGTGGGCAGGTAAGGGAGCAAGAAACATCTTCGCCCTGCCTTGGTACCTTCCTTACAGTCAGCCTCCAGGTTCATGCATCCCCTGTGAAGCATTCAGCCTGCCAGCCCAGAAGTTTAGGCTGCCTTGACCTTTCCTCCACCTGCTAGCATAGGGAAGGAGTAAAGGCTCATCCCTCAATAAGCACCCTGTGCCCCCGCAGTGGGTGCACGTGAGCCTGGGTGGGCTGTGGGCAGCAAGCCCACAGGCTGAGGCTGGCTGGAGGTGTTGCAGTGCTCCCAGACAGCAGCTCCCTTTCTTTCTGGTGTCACTGCGTGCATTGTATTTCTTGGCACCATGCATCCGTGACATCTTGATTTGCAGACAGTCAAATAAAATAGAAAAATAATGTCCCCTGTTAATAGGTTGACACACTGCTTCAGGCCAAGTGTGAGTATTTCTATAGCATTTGCTTTGCTGCCTTATGTCAGTAACTGTTGCTATTGAAAGTAAACACCCCAACTGGTTAAATCAACAGCGTTTTGTTTATTCAAAGCTCATAAACTCCAGTAGCTGTAGGTCACTTTATGAAGTGCCAACCCCTGGGGGAAGAGAAGGAGTAGTGTGAAATTATTGCATGCAGTCCACCCATCATGAGCCTTAGAGGAAGGGGATTTATTAGCAATTAATATTTCTTGCAGAGGAAAAAAAGTAATCCTATTGAGGCAGCTCCACATTGAACCTTGAGCCTCTTTACTGGTGGAAATGGGGAATGGGGTGAAAC